GAAGCCGATCCTTTGACCAAACTTGTGCTAAACAATTGTTAAAATGATCGGCTTTACTTGTCTCTTTGACGAGTTGTTGTGTGGTGCTAAGAATCGCGATACTTAGTGACGATGCCGACTCATGTTGCGAAAACAAGGTCAAACAACCTCTATACAACGAGAGGAGACTGCGATCACACAAAAGGCCACACCATCTTGGTCTTCATACCTTCAATTATAATCTATGTTTGTCATTTTGGCGCATTTCCATTTTCATTCTTACATATTACGTGTCTCTTTTTTTGTTTATTTTTCCACTTTTCACTATTTGACAATTCCTTACCCTTTTGTGTTTCTTTCTCTTCACTTTTCCGCTTCTTTATTTCTATTGTTAATTTTCTTTTACCACTCCTACAGGTGGCCCTATTGTATCCCGAGGTTCATTTACTAACTCTAGTTTCGATGATCAGAGTGATACTGCAGGTCATATAGATGTACTGCTTGATGTACTCGACGAAGCCAGCTACAAGATAACGTCTGATGGGACACAGAACACTATCTCATTTGCCTCCTCCGATCCTTGTACTTTCTCAAATGGTACTTTGAAAGGATCGGTCCCAAGTTCCGTCGTTACACCCGACCAACAAGTCAGCTTTTCGCCTTTGCGGCCCGAAGAACTTGGAGACCCTGTTAATGACATGAGCAAGAGTATTCTGTCTAGGCAGCCTTCTCCAGAGGATATTGCAAGTTCCAGTCATAAGGTGCGATTTTATATGTACACCTCTAATATTGATTTAGAGGTGTTAATTTTTATCGAAGTGTTGATTTTTGTTATTGAACTGAGTTTTGTTAGATCGTGAGACTATGTTGGTCGCCTTTAATTATTTCTATTATCAGTTTACCAGTTTCCCGTTCCCTTGGAATTGAAATCTTTAGCAGATGTACGATCCGACCTCAACTGGCTCGATTCTTGCTGTCAGCAAAGTAGCTGCCTCGAGTTAGGTTAAAAAAGATGCCTTATTTTAAATTATTGCTGAATGGATGATGTTCATTATTACTTAACTTTGGTGGTAAGATTTTCCAAATACACTTATTCTGTTTATGACTGCATATAATGTTTATTTGAGATAAATCACACTAGTAGTCGAACTAAAAATGTCTCCCGAACATCTTTTGACATTTATTAATGATTTAAAATAAAATAAAAACCTTATTGTTCCTTTCCAATGCCTACTCGTTTGACACTTCTAGGACAGCTTGCAGATTCTTCAACCTAATTATATAGATCAATCTTCAAAGATGTGTCTTAATGGCAAGGATGACTCAAAGTTAACATGCTCATCTGGTTCTCAGAATGGTGTGAAAACTTCACTTTTCAACTCGAATTCTTCTGCTGGTCGCCCCTACTCTCCTTCATTACATCAATCTCCGCCTCCGCTGAAGTCAAAGCCTCAGCTTAATACCATCTTGGTTAATCCAACGGTTTCTCTCCTTTCCTCTAATCGACCTGCCAAAGAATCAATTGTCTGTGGGGCCCGTGGAACAGCCCCTTTGGCCAAGGTAGAAGAGGATCGGCATTCGATGCCTAAAGAGTTGAATCCACCATTGGATGAGATATCCCCGATTCCGGCTACGATGGCAGAAGTTTGTTCCTTCGGCAGGCAGGTTTGCTCAGAAGAAGTTCCCTTAAAGCGCGAGAAATTAACCGAAGCCTTAGAGAACGTTGAGACAGTTGCTGGACAGAGACATTGTTGCTCTAATGGAGATTTTGCCTTACCAATAGGCAGATTGGTACAAGGACTTTATGATTGCGAGGCTGAGCAGCCAGATGAGTTGACCTTTGGTCGAGGTGAGATGATTCGAGTGACTCGATGTCCTGATCCTGAGTGGTGGGTAAGTTACTGATAGTAAAGATAAGAGCATATTTTTTTCCAACTGCTTTTGGGTGGAGGCCCTTGACATAAATCAACGAAATAGCAAACGAGCTTAATTGAGTTTGCCTTAAGAAATTGTGTTTATATTTATTCCAAGAATGTACTTTAACTAGATTTTGCCGAAGTTCTGTTAACTGAAAGCACAATAAGAACAAAGATACATCACATCTCATATCGCAACCCACGATTCAGCCCACATTCTACCAAGGTCGTCGCTTTCAAAGCACTTACAGGAGTTGAAACTGGCTGTCAGATTTGTGTCAGATAAATTTAATTCAAAGCCAGGTT